TCGCGGATGTCGCGGGCACGTTGCCGGCGCTGGCCCGCAACGAGCAACGCGGGTGCTTTCGGCCGCCTGCCGGCTCCAATGGGGCCCCTCGCCCCGCGACGGCGGCAGAGCTCGAGCGCGTGGCGTTGAGGGCAGTCTCGAGGGCTGCTCGGCGGCTTCGTGGTTTATCTGACTTGGCGCAGCGCCTCCTGGACATTGCTGACTGCGGCGTCGTCTGCGTCGTCGACCCGAACGCGTTCCGCGCCTGCGAGACCTCGGCCAACAGGATGCGATTCGACCTTGGCGCAGGAGGCTGCTCCCGCCGCTGGCCGTCGCGCTCGCGCCCCGAAGGGCGACGACTCACCCGCGGGTGCCCCCTGAGCATGTCAATGCGCATGAGACTCGCTGGCGACGGGCTCTTGCATGACACCGACGCGCGCCCGGTCGGTCTTCGACGGCGTCGAGCGCCCCCAGCCCGGCCACGGCGACGCGGCGCGCGAGCCCCTGGCCACGGCGACGGAGCGCTTGCAGCCGATCTCCGAAGTGGTCTCCAGCTCTGATCAGGCTATCCAGCAATATCCAGACGGACATTCACCTCGCCCCCCCTCCCCCCCCCCCTTGATCCCCGCCCCCCGCCCCTCCCCGGAAAACCTTGCCTGGGCTTTGCGGCGCCCCCCCCCCCCCCCCCCCCCCCTGGCCCAGATCGCCTGCCCCGCGAGGCGCGGAGGGCCGCGCCGGCAGCGGCAGAAGTTTTACATGAGGTGACGTTGCGGTTGTTCTCTTGGGTGGGAAGGGCTGTCGAAGGTCAGCCTCGAGATCTCACTGGGTGCGCGCGGGGTGTTGGCTCATTTCGACATCTGAAGTTCTGGGGCACCGACCGCGATGCTGTTGCTCAGACCGCCAACATGCGCTTAAGTAAAGTTGCCAGAGGACATGCTCATTCGACCCAACTGGGCGCCATCGGCAGTCGGATTTTCGGGCCTCGTATCATTAACCTAGATGCAGGGGCCCGCCTTGGCAGCATTGGCGACGTCGCGTCGGCCATGTTTCAATGTTGTCGACAGTGGCGCGGCATTCCCGAGCGCATCTCACCTTCCTCGGGGCTATCTCATCGTTATTTTGGCTTTTCCGGCTGACGCCATAGGCCATGAGCTTGCAAGTCGGGCCCGAGCAGGCCAGTTTTTCTTTAACTCGGCGGGTCCCCCCGGGCCGCCCGCAGTCGGGGACTTTGCGCGCCCTGGGCATGGGCCCCGGTCTGCCGGCGCTTAGTTCAAATGCGCAAGGGAGCTAGCGCTTGCCTGTCGGCTCCCCGCCCCCCGCGAGGCCCCAGAGAAGAGCGGCTTGACCTGGTGGTCCCCGCTCCGCCTCTCGTCCTCGAAGCTGGTGCGTGTGCCGATGGCGCTGGCGCCCCCGCCCCTGATCTCTCCCTGCTTCTCGCCTCCATCCACCAATTCAGGCCGCCTCTGAGCTGGCGCATTGGACCTGCAGCCCCGCGGGTGCTGCCTCGTGCCGACGTGCGCAGTGCTGCCCGAGTCGTGGACTGAGCGCCTGCGAGGCGACGTGCGAAGGTTGGTTTCCCCAAGGGATGATTTTTCAATTCGCAGTTCTTGTCGGCACCTGCAGTGCCCAAGTAGGACATGGGGCCGTGCTGGAGGACCCGTGCGGTTCGAGCGTGCGAAAGCGGTGGGCGCGGTGCCGAATTCTTGCTTCCGCGCGAGCGCCGACCGATGCTAGCCCCCATGTGTATTGCATGCTCGCCATCCCCTTTCTTTCCCACCTCGCCCAGTTCTTCCTCTTCCCATCGCGCCGTCTCCAGCGAGAGGCCCATGCGCTGCGCGAGCTTTTGTGTCTCCCTCCATCTAGCCCTGCCCCGGCTGAGCTCCATTCCATTATCTCTGCTAGCTGCGCTCCTGGGAGCCTGTCGAGATGATGGGGGCGGTGGCGAGTCGGATGGCGGCGGGTCGTACTTTTCGATGCTGGGGGGGCGCGTAGTCGCTGCTCCGCGACCGAGCGCGCGGCCGCAGAACAGTCATTCGCGCCGTCGCGGGAAAGATGCGTGCGCCGTGCTGGGCAAACGGCGGTAGCATCGGCTCGCTCTACGCGTCATTCTTCTCTCCCGCCTCTGAACCTCCTTCCCTTGGTCCTCTCACCTCACTGCCGTTCCCGCCCGAGGTCCTTCGGAAGGCGCACGGGGGCGCGACAGCAGCTGCTCAGCGGGCTCTGCAGCAGGAAATCCTTCAAACTCGCAAATGTTGCTTCCGGCCTCCCTGCGGGGCCAGACGTGGAAGGATGGCGTGGCTGCTCTCATCGCTCGTCGTCTTCTCCTGCTTCCCTGAGCCCCCGCTTCCTCCTGCGCAGATCCTCGATGACCGATGGGGGCAGCTCCGGACCCTGCTGTCGCGCCAGCCCCCGTCTCAAGCGTGGCCTCATGTAAAAATACTTGCAGGGGCCTGAATTTTCAAATATTGTAGTTGAATCCCCAAGCCGCCAGTAGTTTGGCCGCCAGAGCCCAAACAAGATTGCTCATTATATAACGTGCCTTGTCCTTTGGGGTGCGGCTGACTTCCGACCGTCGGCCCCGCCCGGGACGCCCATTGGTTCGTCTTGGACCGGGGGCGAGATTGCCACCGCAGCGTTGGAAGGCGGTCGCAGGAGGCGTCGACGACGACGCTTTTTCGCATTTCGCATCCACCACAAGTTTCGGCCAATTATTGGTCAGCAGGAACCCGTCTCCCAACATATGCTCCTGCAAGCCCGCGCCGCCGCGCGCCGCCCTCCGTTTTTAGTCGCGCCGCGCCCCCCCCTGAGGCGACGTGTGCTCCCGCCTCGTGTTTCTGTTCTTCTTTGCTCTCTCGCCCCACACCTTTTCGGTGCTCCTCCCCCCCCCCCTGGCGCCCGGCGCAGTTTCGTCCCGGCCAGGGCGGGGCTGTCGCCGTCCATTCCGGCGGCGGTAGCCCCCCCTTTCCCCCCAGCGGGCATTATCTGTCCACCCAGGCAGGGGGGCCTTGCTGTCATTCTCCTGACATGCACCTACCACCTTTTTCTCGCCGCTCCGTCCCTCTGGACCCTGCCAGGTCCTTGCTTTCGGTTGGCTCTTCCTGCCCCCCAGGGCAGCTGGAGCCCTCCTGGTGCCCCTCTTGGACTCCGGCGTGCCCCCGCCCCGTGTGGCAGCGCCCCCGACGCCGCTGCCTCCCGGTGCCGCCGCCCTGCCTGCAGGTCTTCGCAGGCTCTGGGGGCCCCCTCTGCTGCCCCCGCTGGGCGCCGGCAGGATGCTTGCCCCCTGGTGTGCCCCCTGCGCCAGATGGTGCGCGGCGCCGCCGCTGCCGCCCTGCCGCCCCACCTGAGGGTCTCCCACAGCGGGCCGTCGTCCTCCCTGTTCAATTCTGCCTCTCCCGCATGCTCTCGCTCCCTCCGCGCGCCGCCATGGCGCCGACGGGCTACTCGCAGCCGCTGCTCATGCGCCCAGAGTTTGGTCTTGCCGCCCTCCGACTGCGCCCCAGCTTGCTACTGGGAAACCACGCCCGCTCCCGCCCTGGAGAATGTGCGGCCACCAGCTGTTGGCTTCACACTGACCGTGTTGCACCCTTGTCCCTGTGGGATGGCTCCAGTCACCGCACTGCGCCCCGCCGCCGCCGGCCCCTTGGTGCAGCAGCCGCCGCGCCGGCGGGGCCAGCCGCGCCACGCGCTCCGGGCGTGACCCGTCCCCCTGCGGCCTCTATCCGTCCCCCCTCTCATTCGGCCGTTTCTTCTGTCCTGTCCCCTTTTCCGCGCATGGTGGCACAATTCGCTACAACGGCGCCCCCGTTTATTAGCTCTCCACCAGCGCAGTTGCTCTGCCTAGCCGGCGACTCAAAAAGTGTTTATGTTCCTCCTCCTCGCTCCTCCTCTCTCCTCTTTCCCCCTCCCCCTCCCGCTTGCTTTTCTTCTTTTGTTCCTTTGCCTCCATTACCTCCCCGTCCGTCTGCTCCTTGTTTCTCCTTGGCATCGCTCGGGCGGGTGCTTTGATTCTCGGCGACACCCGTTCCAGAGACTCCGGTCCATCTTGGAGCAGCTTGGCGCACCAGGAAGACAACAACAACGCGCAGATTAGTAATCAATGCATTTTGATTGCACGTCCGAGCGATGGCAAGTCCTTCCTTCTACTCCACCTGCCTTCTCCATCCACGCCCCTCCCTCGCGGGCAGGGGAGAGTTACGAGGAGGGGGAAGAAACCGACCACGTGGATGAACGTCTGCTTCGTGCACCCGTGCAGTCGAGGTTCCCGACGGTCGTGGCCTGCTTCGCAGTCGCAGGCGCTTCGCCTCCGCAGGGCGCGTCGCGCTCACCTGTCAAAGTCCCCAGGCTTCAGTCGGTGGCAGTTGGCCTTTCCGAGCGCTGGAGGGAACAAGTGGAGTAAGCGGGGAGGGGGGAGGCAGATGCGGATGCGGATGCGGTTGCGGATGCGGATGATGTTGATGATGTTGTTGCAGATGATGTTGATGATGATGCCGATGATGATGACGTAGACGATGACGATGATGATGATGATGATGATGATGATGATGATGATGATGGTGATGATGATGGTGATGGTGATGGTGATGGTGATGGTGACGATGATGACGATGATGACGATGACGATGATGATGATGATGACGATGATGATGATGATGGTGATGGTGATGGTGATGGTGATGTTGATGTTGATGATCATGGTCCTGATGCTGAAGCTGACGATGTTTATGATGAAGATGATGAGGATAAGGAGGAATAATAAGAGGAGGATGAGGACTATGATGCGAATGCTGATGATGGCAGTGACCATGTGGATGGGATGGAGGATGATTGTGAGGGTGATCTTGATGATGATTGTGATGCTGGTGATGATGTTGGTGATGGTTGTGTTTCTGGTGGCGGTAGTGATGATGCTGCTGAATACGCTGCTGCTGCTGCTGCTGATTATGACGATCGTGATCATGTTGGTGGTGCTGGTGATGATATCGAGAATCGTGAATGTGGTAGTAAACATGGCGATCTTCAAAACGGTTTGAGATGAGGAGGAGGTGGAGATGGAGGGTCGGAGAAGGGAGCTTCGAGGAGTTGGTATGATCGGAAGGGTCAGGGCATGAGGGTGGTGGTGGAGGAGGAGGAGGAGTACAAATCAGAGAAGGCGGACGAGCAGAATGACCTCGATAACTTCTACGAGGAGAGCGTGACAAAATGAAAAGCGTGGGGAGGAAAACGGAATCTGTTGACTTTGAGAACCTAGATGCGGGGGGGGGATGAGTACAAGGAGAAAGAGATGGGTTGCGAGAGTATGAGGAGGATAAGGAGGATGCGGAGGGGGCAGGAGATAATGAACAGGGGGATGACGATGAGGGGGCATAGTGCAAGTGGTACAAGCAGTGGAAGGCCTCCTCATCCTCCTCTTCATCATCCTCCTCCTTCGAGGGGTGGAGGGCAGCGGGAGGAAGGCGGTCGTCAGCATTCGCCTGTCTCACCATCTCCAGTCCTTCGACACGCTCTTGCGTCCATACGGAAGGGGGCCAGCAGAGTGCAGTCTCACACAAAGCCGAACCAGACCTCCCATCCATGCTCGAACCAGACCTCCCATCAATGCTTGCTGCCGAGCGTGCGATTGTCGCCACTTTCCTACCCCCCCTGGGGAGAGGCCACCGGGTTCCGGTCCTAATGTTAGCCCCAGGGACGATGCCCCCCGTGGCTCATGGAGAAATATCTGCAGATAGTACAGTACATCAGACGTGCGTCGCTCGCCGTTCGTCAGGGAACTGCTCTGTTCATTGCTCACGCTTTTGCTGACTTGCAAAGGGGATAAAGGAAGGGGGGCGACTTCAGTGGGCCCTGGAGGCGACAGGGCAGTTTTGTTTTACCACTTCCGTTTTGCAGTTTTGTTGCCAGCTCATGCGCCGTTGATTCCCCGCTTTCGCCGTTTTTGTTATACTTCTGGTTGGGGCTTCAATCCTGGATCTGTCTTCAGCGTTTCCTGGAGACTTTTTCTGCCATCATCATGTTCCAAAGATATGTTTTTTGTTGCAAGCTGCCGACAAACACACCCCCGCCGTTCCCGAGGCCCACACGGGGCCGACCAGCACCGCCGCCAGCAGACCCGCTGAGCAGCCGCAGGGCGGGGACTCTGACGTGCGCCGCCGCCTCCAACAAGTGGCGGTTCGTATCGGGGCGATCCGCTCCGCCAGCGGGCGCGGCGCGCGCCTCGCACCCGGGGCGCGGCTCTCCCCTGGAGCGGGGGAGCAGGTACGCGCCATGCTGAGGATGCCATAGGCCACTGAAGCGGCGGTCTCCACCGAGGCCTGGAGCGCAAGGCAGGCCCGCCGCTCAGGACTGACCGAAGAAGGGGCTCCCAGCAGAGCCGCACGCGGTGATCGAGCCCGAATCCGAAGCCTCGGAGTTCATGCTGCTGATTTTCGCGAAATGCCAGAACTCGAAGCGGTGGGGGCCACTCCCATCAGGAACCCCAGGACCTTCGCGTCGAGGGTTGCCCTGGAGGACAGACGCGAGCAGATGCGTGGGACTGTCAGAGAAATTGACCCCTGTATCTCTCGAGCACCTTCTGAGCCTCACCATCCATACATCGTGGAGGAGGCGGCCCGTCAAAATCTTGAACCCCAATGTCAGAGACACTCAATGTGCCCAGCACGTGCACGAATGTGTGCGCCTCGCCAGAGGCATGCGCATTCTCATAGTGAACTTCCGAAGCTCGGCCCGCACATCGAGGGGCGCTCCTGGGCATGCTGGCAAGCACTGTTTCCGTGCACGAAGCGTAGTCGGATGTACCCAGCTCATGCTCGCGCTTGCCCTGCACCCTACGCTATGGTACACTCGCCCGTCACATAAAAGGCATGTGTTGCATGGCGGCGGCTTCCAGCAAGAGCACATGAACGGCTGGCAGCTTCAATGAAGTTCCAACCTCCTCTTTCTTACTCGTAACTACCTTCAATCGCCCAAGTTTGGCGAGCCCTTTGCCCGCTTCAACATACATAGCGTATCGCGCAACAGCGGCGGTGGCAGCTCTTGCATTCAAAGTCGAACTCGATATCAAAGCTATGTACGTAAATGTTAATTGTGAGAAAAGAGACCAACGCGTGTGCTCGTGGCAGTCGAAGTCCTACTCTCACAAAACACAATGGGCAGGCGCAGGATGGAAGTGAATCGTGAAACCAGCCGAACTTTCGATCGAGGACAGTCTTTGCGCTTAAGGGTATCAGCGGCGCTCCTTCTAGACGTGCAACAGATACTGTGATCATGTTTGTCAGCAGTGTGTGCCCGTGTTCTGTCTGCTTGACGAGGGTGGGACGGAAGGAGGGGCAAAGGACGAGGGGGGCGTGGATGACAAGGGGGAGGAGGCGGATCCGGTTAATGATGATGATGTTGAGAATGCTGATGATGCTGCTGCTAATGTTGATGACGTTGATGGCGACGGTGATTGACATGATCATACTGATGCTGCTTCTGATGATGGTGATGCCGATGCTGGCGATGATGATGAGGATGATGATGATGATGATGATGGTGGTGGTGATGCCGATGATGAAGATATTGGTGGTGACAGCACGACGACGCAACGACGATGATGATGATGATGATGATGATGATGATGATGATGATGATGATGATGATGACGGCGATGATTATGATGACGATGATGGTGATGATGGTGTTGATGGTGATGACGATTAGTATGATGGTGATAACGATGGTGGTGGTGATGATGACGATGCAAATAATGGTGATGGCGACGACGACGACGATGGCGGTGCTGATGATGATGATGACGACGGCGATGATGGTGATGCTGATGATGATGGTGGGGATGATGATGATGATGATGATGATGATGATGATGATGATGATGATGATGATGATGATGATGATGATGGTGATGCTGATGATGATGCTGCTGATGATGTTGATGATGATACTGATGGTGATGATGGTGGTGGTTATGCCGATGATGCTGTTATCTTAATGTCGTTGATGATTGTTCGGTGGATGTGTATTGCGACGACGGCGGTTATGATGTGTTCTGTTCACATCGATAACTGTAATGTTGCTGATCATGATGATGAGGAGTAGGCGGCGGAGAGGAGGATGAGGAAGAGGTGAAAGAGGCTCAGGCGGGGGCGGATCATGTGGAGGAGGAGGAGCGGGGTGCAGCCGTGCAGCCCCAGGAGGGCCCGCGCGCTGCGGGAAGCGGCAGCGCCAGGGACTCGGCGGAAGGGCTGCCGGAGCTTGGCGGCTCGCTCGACGTGCGGGTCGCAGGGAGAACCCAAACATGCTCGCGTCGTGAAAAATCGGGACGGGATGTTTTGAGCTGTTTTCGGCCTCTGGGGGCCCTAGCCGGGCCTCGGGACCGTCAAAAACGAGTCGGGGGAAAAATTGGACGCGGGATGAGAGCGCGCACGACAAATCAAGACATCGCATGTCTGGGAACGACTCGGCGTCGTGGGCCTTCGGCAAGTTCGCGCCGCGTCGACGCGGCGGCCACCCAGGCGCTGGTATTCAAGGTGGAGCGCCGCCCAGTGGCCCAGAATCGGCCGACATCGAACGATCCGCGCTGTCGGGAAGCCGTCCAAGTCTGAACGGTCCGTCACGGTGTCCCGGCGGAGCGCCGAGGCTGGGAAATGAGAGGGGGCAGGCTTTCTCAGAAGGCGCCGGGGCTTAGCCCTCCGGCCTTCTGTGTCTTCGGAGAAGGCGTAGAAGATTCTCAGAAGGCCACGGGCCTTCTGAGCCTTGCGAGAAGGCCCGCCCCCTCTGCCTTCCCCCCTGGGCGCGTCGTCGAGTGGCAGAAGCCGTCGCGTAAGTCATCACGACACAGACCCGCCGTACTTTTCACCGCCCCCGTAAGCCAGGGGCAGCCGGCGTGTGGCAATCCCAGACCCTCGACGTCGTGATCTTTTCAGAACGTCGGCCCTGGGAACTGCATTGGACTGGGACTGGTTTTCGGACGGGCCTGGAATCGAGATGCATCCGTTCCAGAGCGTTCTGGAACATTTTCAGAGCGCTGCGGAACGCTCCGAAACGGCCGCGGCGCCCGATACATCCAAGACCGCCGATTTCTATAGATTTCCGATTTACATCGGTCCGACTTGGTCTCGATTCTGCCTTTGTCTTACGTTTCTCATCCCGAGCTGTTTTTTGACGGTCCCGAGGCTCGGCGAGGGCCCCCCAAGGCCGAAAACAGCGAACCCCCCGTCGTGATGTTTTCCTGGCCCGAGGGGGTCTGGGATTCGTGCTCTGTCTTTCGCGGCCTTCGCCTCGCGCGGCACAGATCTGCCGTATGCTGGGTCGACCCGTGGGGGCGCCTCTGGGTGATCATCGCGCTTTGCGCCGTCGCGCGCTGGGCCGAGGCGGCTCTCTTGCTCCCACGGGGCGGCGCGGGGGCGCCCGGGGCGCGAAGATCCTCGCGCCGATGCCGACGCCGACGACGCCGACGGAGGACGCCGCCGACGACGACGCGGTGTGCGAAGTCCGGGGGCCCAGGTACAGCTAGCCGCCTCCCCAAACCAGCTGGAGCCCCTCCCTGGCTCGTCGAGCGTGCCAGCAGGGAAGCCCCGCGCCGCTCGGAGAAGCCCGCGCTCGAACTTTCGAAGCTCCGCGCGGATATCTTCTCGGAGCGGCGCTGGAGCCCCCTCCCTGGCTCGTCGAGCGCGCCAGGGAGGCCCCGCGCCGATCGGAGAAATCCGCGAGCCTTTCCCAGCCTCCCGTCCCGCGGAGCGGAGCAACGTGCTACCAGCTTGCAGGGCATAACGTGTCGCCAGGGCCGCTGCCGCGACACGCGAAGCAGCAGCTCCCGACCGTAGGCTCAGGGTGGGAACGCATTGACCCCCAATTGCCCATTCATCGTCGAGGGGTGCACGAAAGCCCACCCCGCCCGGGGCCGTGCAGATGCGTATGCTACCGGGGCCCTATCCTGGACCCTCGGCGTCGTGATTTGGTCATGACATGGACCGCAGTTCTCGACCCCCTCCCAGGGACCAGCTTTTCATTCTTAGTCGTCTCTTGACTGTCCTGGGGCCCAGCGAGGGCCTCCCAGAGGCCGAACATGGCAAACACCGTCCGTCGTGATTTTGCTCTCGTCGCGAGGGGGTCCAGGCGTCGCCGATCTATTCTGCGATGTGCAGCCAAGACGCTGAAACCAGGAACAGCTTGGGTTCAGAGGGGGCTCGAGGCCTCCCTGGTCCTTTCCTGGCTGTTCCCCCAGCCCCCCTCGTGCACCCAGGCCCTCCGGGTGCCAGACAGGGGCCTCGTTCCTCGCTTTTCCTCCCTCAGCTCAGCAGCCGGCTTGTACCGCCGAGTCCAGGTCGCCTGTCTTGGCATCGCTCGAGCGTGTGCATTTTTTCTCGGCGGGGGCCATCTAGGAGCATCCTGGACCATCGAGCAAGCAAAGCACGCACGGAACCGAAAAGTGCACGGGAAATGGACGTCCGAGCGACGGCAAGCTGTGCACCTCCTCGAGGTCCCGGGCCGCTGCCGGCGCCTCGGCTGGCCCTCGCGGCCCCTGCCGACCCCTCCCCCCCACGTGGCCAGGCCCCGGGCAGCCGCGCCTCCGCGGGCCCCGTACCGGGTTGGAGGGGGGGGGGCCGATGCCGCTGCTCGTCCTGGAGGCCCAGACCTGCGACGTCCTGAAACAGTCGGGGCGTTCTGTTTGTTGTGTTTTTCTGAGTGTTCGGCCTCTGCGGGCCCCCGCCGGGCCCCGGGACCGTCAAAGAACGATTCGGGATGAAAAACCAGCCCTGGGGAAAAGGTCGGAATTTCGGGGGACCGCGTGCTGAAGAAATCAGGCCATCGCATGCCTGGGGATCCCTCGTCAACGCGGCCGGATTCTCGTCGAAATTCTGGTCAGAGTCCTCTCTGGTGGAGGTCTGGTGGAGCAGCGCTATCGTCGGGGGCCCCCAACCATACCTTGTGGTGAGGCAGTGGAAATTCGGGATGGCCGCACGGGTCTGAGACTCGGGTCGTTCTCCGAGGACGTCTCGAGCGATTGGGGCCTCCATGATCCCCCAACCGTGTGGCGGCGGACCGCGCGGTGAGGTTTCTTGGGGTTCTGAGGACACCGTGCAGATCTGCAACCGTACAGATCTGAGCGATGGGTGGGTAGCCTCCTCTCCCCTCCCGCAGGCCGGGGGCGAAGGCGGCGGCGCTGGCGCCCTGGCTGGGCAGGATGCCCGCCTCCCGCCCTCCCGCCCTCCCGCCTCCCCCCTCATCCACGCCCACGTGCTCTGCGATGGTTGGGCGTTCGATCATGAACCCCTTGTGAACCGCGACCGTCCTCCAGCATTCGCGCAGGAGGCCGCCGTAAATCGTCGAAGACCGTCAGACGAACCCCGAAGACCGCTTAAGGGCTCCATGGTCGAATGCGCAGCATCGGGTCTAAACCAAGCCGCCTTCCTCTCCAGGACGTGGTGTCGCGCGTCACCTGGGCGGTGCACCAGGTGGTGGGGGACACGGCGATGGTGTCCCTGCAGCTGTGGATTTGCGGCTCCCGCAGGGGTCCCCAAAGGGGGGTGGGGCGGGGAAAGAGCGGTTACGAAATCGAAGCAGAACAACAATTCACCACCGTAAACTTTCAGAGCTCCGCGCGGATTTCTCGGATCTGCAGTGGACCTTGCTGCTGGCGCCTTCGGCTCCGCCCCTGGCGCGCTCCGCGCGCCATGTGGGAGGGCCAAGCACGGATCCACAAAATCCGCCTGGATCTCCGACAGTTTGTCTTCATGCCGCTTTTTATTCCTCCACAGATGGGTGTGGGCTGGGGAAGGAGAGGTTACGACAGCTGCCGCGAGCAGCTGGTTTCGGCCCCGCTCCGCGGGCATTTGGCTCGATACCCCGAGTTCGGAATTTTCACATCTCCACTGCCCGGGGAACTGATGTCGCAGGGCTCCCAGGAGGCAGTGGGCATGGGCACTTTCGGGCCCCAGGGGGGGGAGGGGGGACTTAAGACTTAAGAGTTCCAGCCTCGCGGATGCATCTCCAGACATGCGATGTCCTGACTTTTTCAGTGCGCGGTCCCTGGAAGTCCCGGCCCTTTCCGCAGACCCGTTTCTCATCCCGAATCGTTATTTGATGGTCCAGGCCGGGTAAGGCCCCCCAGAGGCCGAACATTAAGAAACACTTCCGTTCCGATTGTTCAGGACGTTGCAGGTCTGGGTTTGGGTGTTGCCAGAGCTGTCCCTGGCCCAAGGTGTCCCCAGGATTCCCCGGCAGGCCCAGGGGTCAAGGGCGGCCTAACCGGTCCCTAGCAAACCATTCCCTTCCGTGACGTCCCCCAAAGGCGTATGTATGTGGCCGGCTGGAAACTCGGAAGGTGGGGTGGCGTCACGGAAGGCGATAGTGAATAGTTTGCTCGAAGTCCTTCAGAGCACCCGCAGGGGTGGCTTCCAGAGCACCCCTCGCGAGGCCTGGGGGGCTTCATGGGGCTACGGAGTGGTGCGACGCGCTGGTGGTACTTCTGGCAGCACCCGGTGCATGGTCGCGCCCGGTGCCTCGAGGCGCCTTGGGAATCAGCCGCGTGCAGCCGGGGGGGGACCCTGTGCTCAGGGGAGGCTGCAGCACCGCTCAACGATGTGCTGTCAACGAAACCTGCAGGGTGGTCCCTTCCCATTTTTCTGTGCACTTCAGCTTCGGCTTCTGCTTCAGCTGTGGGTGCACCATGATGCGCCTCCGGACCAGCTCACCCGAGTTGTTTCTATGTCCGCTCGCACGGGTACTTCGCCCCCCCCGTGCAGCTGATTCCTTCCACCCCAGAAGCGATTGGAACCGACAGTCGAAGAAGAAAAAGCAATGGCATAACATAACTTTCGGAGCTCCCCCCGGGATTTCTCGGATTGGCGCCAGCCCCCCCCTGGCGGCGCCTCCGTCGCCGTCCCTGGTCCGCTCCGCGAGCCAGGGAGGGGGCTACATCGCAGATCCAAGAAGTCCGTGCGGACCAGCGTCTCCAACCAAAGCAAGAACGATTTGCCTTGCGAGTCTCGTCGTCCGCGGGCGGGCGCTCGCGACGGGCCCGGGGGCGACCTGGCTCGCAAGCTGTGAGGTCGCGAGTGCAGCAGGCGCATCCAATAAGGCATCGGCATGCCATGAGGTGCCGAGCGGAGGTTTCTTGCCTCCCGCTTGCCCAAGGGGCCCGCAGAAGCTCCGGGGGCACCCCGGGGCCCTCAGGGATCGACGAAAAGCGTGCCCTCAGGCTTCATATCGCAAGATTTCTTGTAGCATGTGTCTATCGTATCCGTATCCCCAGGTCACCCCCTGGGTGCGCGAAGATAATCGCGCTTCGCGCGTCGCGGCCTGCGCCAGAGAGCTGCCCTTCTCCAAGGTGGCCTCGCAAGGACGCGAAGATAATTCCGCGTCGCGCATCGCGGGGCGCGGAGCGCGAAGCAAGAGGACCTAGTATCCTCGTGCTCCCAGTCGCTTCGCCCCCTCCCTCCCGAGGCTGCTTTCTGGCCTCGTGCGAGTCCCGCCTCTTCTCGCGGCTCGGCTTCCTGGCGGTGGTGTCGCCGCTCCTGTGGCTGCCCGCCGTGCTCGTGCTCTTCCCCGCCTTCATCCTGTGCTCGAGCCACGCTGGCAAGGTCGGCAGCGAAATCCGAATGTTGCCCTCGCCGATCAACGAATCAGGCAAATCGGTGGGCGGCGGTGGGAGCTTTCGGAATTCGTCGAACACGTGGCGAAGTCCGAACCCTACCCCCGCCCCCATCGGTTCAGGAGAATCGATGGTTGGTGGGGGTAGGTTTCGGATGTCGCCCCCAATCAGGGCTCCGACGTGCTGAGACTGTGGTCCGCCTCGACGGGCAAGCTCCAGGCTCGGGGGAGGAACAGATACCGACACCGCTGCTCGTCCTGGAGGCCGTTTTGTACCCCCTGGCGGTAACAGGCGTGCCCAGGGGGACCCAGGGGCCGGTCGCCTCACGAGTCGCGCGCGCCAGGACGTGACCAGGGGGGGGGGGCGGGAGAGGGGGGGGGGGGGGGGGGGGGCGCAGCCGGTCACGGGCGTTATCGCGCATTCTGAAATAGCGGGCTTCTGGAGAGCCCTGGCTGGATTATCCACAGGATCCTGGCCAAGACGAACCCCAGGAGACCTTCGAGGAGCATCGGTATCGGTATCTTTTGGTTTCTACAGAGGTCCTGATCTCGTGAGGAGGGCCTCTAGGCTTCCGAGAGCGGGGCCGGAATGGGCGGGGTCAGAAGGTCGCATCGCATCGCTGGCGCATCGGCGGTGCAGCGCGATCCAGAGCCCGATGCCTTTCATGCTGACATCGCCGATGTATCGTCGATGCGTCAGTGATGCGGCGCGATCTTCGGACACCGGGTCCCCTGGCCTCATGAACGAGGCTTTCAGCTCAGGCCTGCGATTCGACGCATCCTCGCAACGGCCGTGCGGGCCATGGACTATTCGTGAGATAGGATATAGGTCCTCTGCGTACGCAGGCCTATGCTTTGGCTGGTCGAGTGGGTCGGGCGCTCCGTCTGCTGAGCACCCATCTGCAGCATCGTTCTGCAAGCTCTGCAGCTGAAGCGCTGGCGTTTCTAGTCTCGAGCAATGCAGCCCTGCCTTGGGGCGTGGCTCGCGCGACGTAATTTGCGATCACTGCCTGCACCTTGGCCTGAGGGCGAGAGAACGCAGTGGGCTGACTGTACGTTCCTTCCTGTTGTCTCTAGCGACTCTAGCGCCCCCAGTTTTGTGGGTGGCTAGGCGCTCGAACATTCGACCGTTATCATCCCTTGCTGCCTTAGCCGTGACCTGCTCTCCCGTTCTTCCTGGCAATTCGAAGGAATTGGCAATCGGGAAGTGCCTGTGGCTTGCCAGAGTAACTGACTGACTCCGAGGCATGACTGAGGGCGCACGCGTCGATCTTGTCATTCTTTTCCTCCGCGCACCTGCTCCCAAGCTGTTTATGTAATGCCGCATAAGCGTCCCACCACCTCGCTTTCTTGTTTTTTTGGCCCTGTGCTGTCTGACACTACCGTCAGACTAGCCAGACCTGCGGGCGAGGCGCAGCGTGCCTCCCCCGGTGTATGAATTAGCGTCGCGCTGCTACGAACGAGGCTTCATACAAACATGCGGACCCGCCAGATTGCGCCTCCCTGCGCGACAACGTCACTACGCGGTAGCCTTATCAGCTCATGCTGCCCTAGGCATTCACCAGACCAGCCGGTTCGCCCGGGCCACGAGCTAACCCCTCTACGCAAAATTTCCCCCAGATTGTCCGTTGTCGATACCGGTTGGGAGTGGCAGATCACACTCGCAACATGTGCTTCAGCAGTTTCTCTGAACGGGTTTCAGAGGTTTCCTGGAGGTTCTTGGTTGATCTCTCGAGCATCTGGGGGATGTAGTTTGCGTCCAGATCTGTTTCGCAGGTCGAGCATGGTTTCCAGATTCCCCCTTCCGCTCATTCCTATTTCCGGCCCTCCTCTGAACTCCCCTTCTTCATGACAGACAGCAATGTAATAGCACCATCGTCTCTCCTTTACGCATTGTTCGTTGTGTCGACAGTGGTCCCGCGCTTTTGGTCTCATTTTTGTTCCAGGTTCGGGTGACGATTCGGCGTGGCATCACCTGATTACCAAACGTGTGCCAGGGGTAGTTTCGGGTCCACTGCTGTCTAATCACAGTCCGCAGAGATAACACCCGAACTCCGACCCATTTAGCTGTTGCCGTGTTGTGGTATCCGCCGTCAAACCTGTGCCCACTACGCTTTCCCCACAGTGGGGTCGTCATCGCCCGCTTCGGAATTGTCCCGTTTGCCAGCGTGTTGCTTCCGTATTGCTTGCACGGTCCGTCAGGGCCTGAGGGTTTTGCTGGGGAACGGTACTCTGGCAACTCCAGCATCCTCAGGGTCCGAAGATGTGCTGCACGGCCAGCAGGCTGTTCAGCACCCCAGCGCGCCTAGGTCCAGTGTCCGTTGGCGGAGTCGTCAAGCTCTATCGTCTCCATTCCTCGCAGGTTGGAATGCAGTTCCTGGGAGGTCAAATCTAGCATCGGCGCGGGCATCTCCGTGGTCTAAGCTGGCCAAATCCGGCATAATCCCGTTTATTCTGGCTTGCTTCAGTCTAGTTTTGGCTGAACCCCTCCTTCCTTTAGTCAAAGGGGGCGGATTCAAGCCCCCTTCCCCCTTTAATCCTAAAGGGGTGGATGGGGGTTGGGCTTCTGGATGGAAAGGTTCAAGGGGGGGTAGTTAAGCTACCCCCCCCATTTTGTAAAAGGAGGGGGGGGAAGTTCCCGGAGCGCGAAAGAGCGGGAGGGGGTGGGGTAGCCTATGAGGGGCGGAAAAAGAAGGGGGGGGATTTCCGGCAAGGAGGTGCACGGGGGGGTAGCTGGGTACATAAGCTCTCCCCCCATTGGGCAGGGAAGCGGGCGGGGGGGCGGTAGCCTCCGGAGCGCGAAAGGGAGGGGGGCGTAGCTTCCGAGGTGCGGAACAGGGGTGGGGGGGACCGGCAGGGGAGGTCCAAGGGGGGGAGGGAGGTGTTATAGCGGCACTGGAGCCGAACCCATGAGGTGATGC